GATGGTCCACGACGCATCTGGGAAGGACAGAATGTCATCTTTCTACTTGCATGACAGCTTGACCGGATTTCACGTTTTGCTTTGTATCAAAAAACACAATATCGTTCAATCAATTTCCAGTAGAAATTTACAAGTCAAAGGATTTCTAATCTCATGTTTCCTCATGTGGAATCAAGAATGGGCAACCTCTATAATGAATTAAATACCCTGTTGAATTAAACTTTAAAAAAAAACTGTTCCGTAACAATTTTTGATTGATATACTGGCCAATTGAGAGAATGATTATAAGGAGAGGATTGAAAAATTAGGTTGTTATTCAACTCGGAAATTCCAGTCCTACTTTTGTGCCCTGGAGAAACGCTCACACAGATGTTAAAGGAACTCTGTCAAAGAATGTTTATTGCAACAGTGTTTACAAGAGCTTCAAACGTGGAAACAACCCAAATGGCCATCCGGGGGAAGATGGATACATAACTGTGGTTCATCTGCTTAACATAATGCCGCACCCCAGTGAAAACGGTGAGCCGCAGCCAGAACGAGTCATAAGTGAACCCCAGTTATGTGTGGAGCTAGGAAGGGGACGCTGTGGGAGCACGTGCGGAGTTTACGGCTCATGTCGGAACTTGAAAACATGCAGGAGAATTCTCCACCTCGGACACAAAGACATGTGTTGAAGGTTAGGACGGGTAGTTATAAACACTGAATTCCAGAGAGCGGAGCGGGGAGGGGGCTCGGAGGGGCTGGGGGAGGAGAGGGACGCAGCGGGAGTGGGGTGGGCGGGAGGTCCACGGTCCACTGGGTTCGTGCCATTTTGTTTCATAAACTCAGGATGTCCTTATACGTTTTGTAGGATTGAAATAGTTCATATTAACTAAAGAAAGCTGTGTTGTGGGGTAAAATTTAACCTCTGATGATTAAAACCTACCTCAGGGCTTCTACTAAGTCACACGGCAGCTCAACAGCAGTTCACGGAAACCGCCTCATACCCGGTCGTGTTCTCACCCCTTTCCCCTTTTCTCCAGTTCCTTCCACAATGTTCCATTCTCCTCCCAGCCCCTGGCGATCTGACGGTTTACATGTTGTCCTGTCTGTCCGTCTGTCTGCCTATCTACCTCCCCATCCATCCATCCATCTGTCCATCGTCCATCCGTCCGTCTATCCACCTGTCTAGATATATGTCTGTGTTGAATGTTAAAAAACAAAATTCAATGGAGTAAATGTTAAGATCTTGTTGGCTTTACTCAGTGATCCCACCAGCAGACAGAGGGGCCCTCCAAGGAGCTGGGCAGAGCGAGGACTTGAATCGCCGGAGGGAGCTGGCCCAGGAGGTTACATCGGACAAAGCGGGCGGGCTGTTACAAGGTCACTTTCCCGTAGGGCTGGCGGGGGCCCACCCATGTAGATTCCTTCACTGGTGCTGGTTCCTGATTGACTGGGTTCAAATTCCACTTCTGGGTAAGCAGAGCTATAATTCAGTCTCAGTTTGGTGACGCGGGGCTTAACAGTAAGTGAGTCCATTTATGAGAAATGCTGATTTACCCCAGTGATTTCAGGTTTGTCTTCCATCCCTCAGGCTGCTGGAACCGGTTCTCAAATGCTGCACACGCTGACCTTGGGCAGAGCTCCAGGACAAGGAGGAGCGGGGAGGAGGAGTCCAGGGGGCTTTCCAGGAGGCTCCGCGCGGGTCCCACTGAGCTGCTTCTCAGCCGGAGAACCTGCCTGACGGACCTGCGATCTCCCTTGCGGAACAAGTAGCAGACTGTTATCTGTCATGCTGATTTTCTTTTTCTTTTTCTTTTTACGTGGATTAAACAAAATCAATATTTATTCAATATGTCTTCTTTGCTCAAAAAGAAGAGAAATCCAGGAGCAGCATTCCAAATGATATGGCATCATTTTTCAAACAATCCGACCATCCAGCATCTTTCTTTTTGCTCTGGCATTCTTGGCTAGTAGATGTCATTTTCTTCTCTTTCTTTTTCTTTTTTTTTTTTGCTGATTTTCCTGAAAGCACTCCGCTGCTGTGCGGTCCTCCCAGCCATACTCACTGCTGCCACCCCACGGCTGCCGGGACCACGTTCATCTACCTAACATCACTCCTCTTCTGCGTGGAGCCAGACAGAAGTCAGACCTGGGGGAAACGGGAGGAAATTAAGTCCTTTACGCTCTGGGTTTCTTTTTTGTTTTTTCTCTCTGATTTCTCCAGAGGGAAGCAGCTTACCGTCTCTTTAACGATCGTTCCTGATGAAAAGACAGCTCCTTTAAGTGAATTCCAGCTGAAACCTCATCATTACAAACATGAATAAAGGAAAGGTCACTGAAAACGGAGTCGGGGAGCCCTGAGGGGGATCTCACCCCCTGCCACTCCCCAAATCTGAAGACCCAGCCACCGGGACTCCCAGCTCACCTTCCTTCTCTTCTGAAAGTTTCTTGACGATTCCACGGTTTTGTCTTTCAGATTACAATAGTTATAATATTTCACCCCAACACATCTTGTTTCGGGCTTTGGCTGGCGATGATTTAGGGACAGCCGGCGTCTGTACATTACTAATTATTTTCCACTAAAGAGCAAGGTGTAGCTTCCCATTGATTCAAGCTCTCCGTGTCCCTCCTCAGAGGGTCACTGTGTTCCGCTCGTGCTGTGTCTTTGTTCCTCGTTAATCTCATTGATGGACCACGGCAGAGGCTGTCGGCCACCCATTCAGCCCTTGCGGCACCCACTCCCCCTTGCTTCTAGAACATCTTCCCTCTTTGATGCAAAAGCCGTGAACTTTCATCTTTGTTTCCTGTGCCCTGCGTATGAGACGCTTGCTCCGTGTTTTTAAACATTTTCAAAAAAATCAATAGGCTTGCATCCACGTTCATAAAACACCACTTCTATTTAGATGTCTGCCTCTGTTGTCCTGCCTCACCTGTTAGTCAGCCGTTACCTTGAAAGTAAGTCTTAAATTTCAGACCCAAAGCAGGAAACGTCCCTCAAATAAAAACCCACTGCACACACGCCCGCTCCTTTCCTAGACGTCTTGTCATTGGCAAAGGACAAGGCAGACGTTGCATATCAGCTACCTTGTTGGAAGCTTCCTAATTTCCTCACGAAAGGCTCTACCTCTCCCTTGAGAAGCTGAAGTTGTGCAGTGCTTTTTGATGGGCGATGTCTGGGCCCTGGCGTGATTGGCTCTAGATTTACGGCCATTTGTGAACGACACGACAGATGCAGCCAAGTGACGGGCTTTGGGAGCAGCAGCAGGCGGGAAACAAACAAAAAAGTGAGACGGATATTTTTAATCTCAACCTGATTGTGTAGTCAACTCTGTTTAGAGAGGGTCTACCATCAGACCTCAGAAGGCAGACAGTTAGAGAAACTGTCTTATACTTTCCAAGGAGGTTGAGAAACCGTCTCAGATCGGACCACGTGACAAAAATTCATCAGCTGAGTCACGCTGCTTGCGAAGCTAGACAACTGAGTAGTGTCAGCTTGACAGGGACACAGATGTCAGGGCAGCTCTGCATTCAGACTGAATCAGGGATGTGCAGGTGTCTGCATAAACCACAAACTAAGTTATCAGCAGATCTTTTCTCATTCTGCACGTAATGTCAGGATTTCCAGGTAGCTAGAATTTATGAAAACTCCCAGGCAGTGTGAGAAATAAGGCGGAAGGCAAAGAGGAGCCTCCCTGGCTCCCACCCTACCCCGTGGGCATGCCCCGTGGGTCACCTCCCGCCGGCATCCAGGGGTCAGAGCCCTCCCCGACCTGCGCTGCTGGCTTTGGGCTGGTGGGTGGAAAAACTCTTCCCCTTTCCACCTCGGGGCCTGGTAAACTCGGCGACCCAGGGTCAAAATTGTTGCTGGAGATGTCTGCTGACAAAGGAGCAGAGAGGGAATCACGGAAAGGAATCGGACCAGCTGCTCCTGAGACAGAACCGCTCTGTGCTAAGGGGATGGAGGAGGCCTGGCTGCCATCTGTTTCCCCGGGGCTGCGGGCAGCTCTAAGTGCCCCCAAACCAGCAGACTTTCCCCCAGGCCAGGGTGCCATCTCTGCAACCATGATCAGTAAGTTCGGAGCTGGTGGGGTCACAGCCTGCAGTCTGGTTTCTCACCTGAGTGCACAGGGGATGCTGACAGTGCTGGTGGCCCCTCAGGTGTGGTCCTTCCTGTGTATTCTGGGGGCTTTGTAGGCACACACCTGAGGTTCTGCACTGAGGGGTTTCTTCTCCAAGACCTGCCTGCTCAGAACGTGCCAGAGCGCTGAGGATGTGTAGCCGTCAGCCCACAGCTGACACGGACCGGAGGGCGAGAGGCCCCGCTGCCAGGCCCCTCGAGAGGGACACGGCTGGGACCTGCTCCACCCCGACTCCCAGAGGTGAGGCGGCAGGGGGGACCCCAGGTGTCCACAGTGGCACCCGAGTGTGGGCACACACCCTGTTGGTTGCCTTCAAATGGGCTTCATCTGAAGACATATTTAAAGATTTTCACGTACAAACTCATAAATCAGAAAAAATTCTTTGTGACCATTTATCCATTTTTTTTCTTAAGAAGACAGTGTCTGCAGCATTAGTGTTAATTGCTCCTGTACAGGTTATGTTTAAACGCAGGTTCTCCTCAGCTCGGTGCCAATTCCCCCGGATAGCTGCAGTTTTTCCAGGAGTCCTTCTGCCGGTCCTGAGGGTGACATGGTCCGTTCAGCTGTGGCCTCACCTCAAGGACCTCCCCGCCCCCTCCCTCTCCTGTCTACACTCGTGGGTTAAAGCCTGCAGGGTGATGTCACTGCGACCCGAGGAGGAAGGCGAGGAGTTGCGGTCACTGCCGCGGCCTTGGGACCTTCGCACCGATTTATGAAGGCGGAGCTGCAGGGCCATTTCTGCTTTGTTTTGCATCTTGATTGCAGCATAAACCCAAATCCCAGACCCTGTGAAAACAGGTCCTTTCCTTCGCAGACGCTCGTGGTCACAGCCTCCAAGAGGCACCGCTTACCTGCGTCCTGCTTTGTCTGCCACGTCTCTCATGGGTGGTGTCTGGAGTCCAGGCGGCTCCCCTCCCGCCCGCCGTGCACGGCAGTGTCAGCCTGTCTGCAGCCGCAGAAGAGGGCCTTCTGTTCCTCCGGGTGCCCTAACAGACGAGCGACACAAGGGGTGTATTTGCTGGTCAGGAGAGACGGCAGATCCCTCTTGTCACCATTCCTGTCTGTGTGCCTGCCCTCACCCCTGACTCACATCTAACTCCCCTTCTTCGTCCTTCCTTGGTGTGTGTGAGAGAGAGAGAGAGAGAAGAGACCGAGACCGAGACAGAGACAGAGAGAGACAGAGAGGCAGAGACAGAGGCAGAGGCAGAGACAGAGACAGTGAGCCCTCCTGACGGTTTCACTTCAGGCGGTAGCTCTGATGCTTCAAGATCACCCCAAGCTGCTTACTTATCTCCTCTGTTTCCACTGCGTGAATCCAGGGTGCCTGTCGCCCATCTCACCCCTTTGTTTTCCTCCCCTTTTCGTCTGTAAGTGCATTTTTCGGGCTGTCCATCTGGGTGGGTGCAGGAGGGTGGCCTCCAGCCTGGCCCCTGGCCCCGCTCCCTCTGCACAGAGCGGGTGGGAGGAAACCTCGGTCTTGGTCCACGTGTCCCCGGGGCCCAGGGACGCCACCCACGCTGGCGCTTGGCTGTGTGGCTGCAGGGCTCCGTTAGGCCAGACGGTGCAGGCTGGTGGTGGGGTTTGGTGGCGCTAGTGACCACCTGGCACGTCCTGGCCCATTCGGCCGGTGCCAGCCTCCTCGTCAGACCACCCACGGTCCCCTCCCCGAACGTGAAAGCCTGTGAAGCCTGTTGTTACGGGTATGGTTTCTGTGTTGGGCGACTGGGCCAGCCACGGGCATGCCTTCCAGCGGGAGAGCCCCCCTCAGCCGGCACCGTCGCCAGCACCGGGAGCACAACCTTCCGAACAGAGCGGAATCGAGTTCACCCGCATCCCCAGGAAAGATGGGGGAAGTGCTGCCACCCTGCGGCCGCACGAGGTACGGCAGGCAGTCCCGGAAAGTCAGATTGGCGTTGCGTTTTCCCTTGGATTTGTGAGAACGTCTCCTCTCCCTGGTTGTTGACTTCGTCGTCCCGGCCGCGTTGGCAGTAACTGCAGGAAGGAATTACAGGACCTCAGAGGACCTCACCTATTGGCTGATGTTTATTCACGCCTGTATGTGATCGTCCCCGCCCAGAAGAGAATCAAGACTCTTGTTTCAAATCAGCTGCGACCTTCCGGGGCCCATGAAACTCATCACCAAAAAGGGATGTGTTTATCCGTGAATACATTTTAAGAAGTATAATTGCTGGGTGATTGAGTACGTGTTTAAGATGCTTGTGTAATACTTCAATAATAAAACAAAATAAACAAAAAAATAAACAACAGGCTTGTGTATTATGACAACCTGAATTCCAAGGGGGCCGTGCTGTTTGCTGCTCAGTGTATAGGACCACCTACTTCCCTTCACCCTGAAGACACCGCGGATCCGCAAACGTTTTTTGATTTTGACGTGGGTACCTCTAATTCTTCATGAATTTTGTTTAATTTACTTTTAAAAATCGTAGTTGATTTACATTTTATTAGTTTCAGGTGTCCAACAGACTTAGTTTCGGGTGTTCAGTGTTTTTGTAGATTATACTCCATTTAAAGTTATTATAAAATACTTGTGCTAAACATTGCTGTTTCCTCGTGCTGCACAGCGCATACTTGTTGCTTATTGATTTTCTGTATAATCGTTTGTGCCTCTTAATCCCCTCCCCCATCATCCTAGCCCCTCCCCTCTCTCCCTGCTGGTAATCATGTGTTTGTTCTCTGTATCTGTGATTCCTTCATACATTTTAAATTGCGGGATTGAAATTGCTTTTGGTCTAAGAAGACTCATTTAAAGTCAGTTACTCACTTACTGATCTACAGAGGGTAATACCCTGCCATGTCTTTTCACTTGCCTTTTAGTTGGTTCCGTTTCCCTCTCTCTCTCTCTCTTTGGTCTTGAAGGCATTTGAAAATGATGTGGTTATGTTTATCGGTCCTTCCCTTATGGCTTTTGGCCTCAGTGGTCTTGTCAATTCAGATAAAGGGGTAATCGGAACACCTGGCCCCTAGTCAACAACAAAAAATACCTGGATGAAGTTTGTGTGTGTGTGTGTGATAGCCCTGATTTAGTAGCACCCAGGAAATCGGCAAGGATGCTTTCAGCGTCGAGATGTGGATGCAGCTGCCTGACCTAGAAGACACCTGGCCCCTCCCACAACCGTGGGGTAGATGTGGGCTGGAAGTGGGGGTTCCTCTGGGCCCCTGCTGCACTTCCCTCCACCTCTGACAGCTTTAGCTCCCCCTTTCCTGGTCCCAAGACAGCAGCCTCAGCTACAGGGATCACATCCAAACAGGACACGGTGCAGAGGGGAGAAGGGGCATCTCTCTCCCCTGCTGCTTTTTAAGAGCTGGGACTAAGACTGACCTTCACGTCTCATCGTCCGCACTGCGCTCCTGCCAAGCGCCAGCCAGGAGGGGGCTTGATCTGCTGAGGATGGAGCGAACCTCAGCCCTTCAAAGCAGCGGTGCCTGAAATCCACCACAGGGTAAATCTGCAGCGGGCCAGGTCACCCATGATGAGAAGGACCAGGTCCTGACTGGGATGTGTTCAGCCGAGAAGGCAGCCTGGAGGGACTGAGGGCTGGACAGGACCCCCGAGGAAGGGGCAGCGCGGGGTGGGGCCGAGAGGACGCACTTGGTCCTGGCTCTGTTCCAGGCTGTTAAACCCACTCTTCCCACCACGGTGACAGTCAAACAGCCTTCTGTCTCTGAAAACTGCAAAAAGACTTATGAGAATCCTTTGGAAATATGAGAAGAAAGAGTTCAGAGCAATGACCCCATACAGAATAAATCTATATAAAAGTCCGGTGTTCTTCTGTACACTGAGATAATAATTTTGAATACGTAGTGGAAAAGTTTCATTCACAATGACAGCAAATATAAAAAGCAAAAAATAAACTGACAGAAGCCATGAAAGAAGATCTGGGATGAAAAAAACTAGAATTTAACTGAAAAATCATAAGAGAGAATTTGATTAAATGCAAAGACAGTATTTCTGCAGGGAAAAGCTGAGAATTAACAATGATGTCAACTTTTCGATAATTATATTACGTGGAGGGAGAGGCAGGTGGGGAGGGGCGTGGGGAGGGGGAGGCGGGGCCAGGTGGTCCTGGGTGGGGTGGGGCAGGGAGTGGCTGGGGGGTGGCTTCCCAGTGCGGGGGGTGGGAGTGAGTGACGGGAGCCCTGGGGGAGCTACTGAGGATCTGTGGCCGAGTGTGGCTTAGGGCTACAATTTAAAAAATATTCTGCTTTGTTCAGAGGACTGCTTTGAACCTGTGTTGCGTTGTTGTAGAATTTTATTTGAATTGCTCAGATTTAGATGCTGTGTGTGTGCTGTCTTACCAGATGGCCTTTGATGGCTTAATTTAAGGTCTCTTGTCCCACTTTTCTTCTGACCGCACTAATCCGGCCAGAGCAGCGCGCTGGGTTTGGGGAGGATGTTCGCCTCTCTTCTTAGTGAGGAGGCTGGAGAGGGGCATCCATCCGCCTGCTGGGAGCTGTGTCCCCGCTGCCCCGCTGCCCGGTGTGCCGGCCCGCAGCCCCCTCCCTGCCCTTGGGTCTGGCCTCCTGTCTGTGGAAATGGGCTTCCTGTTTCCTTTGCTTCTCCTCACATCAGCGCACTGGGCACAGGGACTCATTACATTCCAGCCTAAGCTGAAGACAAGGGAACATTTTTGTCAGGACCAACGAGTCTTGTCTTGGAACATGTGGACACTTAGGGACACGTGGAGGGGCCTCATGGGGTCGGCCAGACCTGTGACTGTTGGCATGGGTTATACATGTGCTCACACACACACACAATACGTGTTATGTGTGGGTCCATAAAGTATGCTGTGTGTATATGCACACACATGTCACGTGTGCACATATAATATACACTGTATATATGCACACACAAGATATGTGTTATATGTGGGTATGTGACGTACGCTGCGTATATACGTACACACACCTATGACATACCCAGCAAAGGGTTCATATTCCCAAAAGCTGAGTACCTGTTGCCCTGTACCAGTGACCCCTAAACTTCCTGGACTGTGCGCCCAGCGGCTCTGTCACTGCTGACATGTAGGTCACATGCAGGCGCTCAGTGATGGACTGAAGGTCCCCATTTCTAGCAACGATGGGGCTGTGGTTCCGCGAGCTGGGATCGCCTGTCACCCAGCAGGTGCTTTGTCACCTCGGAGGGAGCATGGCCCTGCTCCTTCCTGGTGTTTTGTCCCCGCCCTTCCTGCCCTGGTCCTGTCGCTGCTTCTGTCTCGTGACGTGGCTGATGGACTAGCGTGAGGAGAGGATGTGGGTTTGGCCTTTTTGGATTTTCAATTCAAAAAATTACTCTGCTTATTGAGAATCTAAAATCTGTTCCTTTTCCGATTTGGTGGTTTTCATTTGGAAACTGTCGGCACCTTTGGCACGATGCCCGTGGTCCTTGCCCGCTAGGCCCACGGGCCCCGCGTCTCCTGTGGTCCGTAGACCTGTCTTCTCAGTTTTGAGTGCAGCTGTGTTCCTTGAATTAACTCTTTCTATATTTTACCCACATTGTTGTGAGTTTGGGACAGAGACAACCTCCCTGGGTAATCTGACAAGCAATGATTCTGGACATCAGAGCCATGTAAGAAGGTGAACATTAGGAGTATAGATAACTTATGTTTTTAAAATTTTAAAAAGTTTAAAGAAATTTTTAGAAAATAATATAATGAAAATTTAGAAAAAAATGTAATAAATAACATACTATAGCACATCTACCTGCCACCCAGCTTCATTAAATCTTAACACTTTGTCATACTTGCTTTAGATTAAAAGAAATTAGAGATAGAGCTGAATCCCACTGTATACACTTTTCCAACTCCACCCTCTACCTTTCCAAGGTCACGATTCTCAGTAACTTGGTGTTTTTCATTTCTGTGTGTATTTAATCCTACCACCCCATTTGTGTGTATGTATAAATGATATAAAATACTGTTTTGTAGGGCATTCATCTGTTTCTAAATTACATTTTACATTACATTTCTCTTGGCCATTTGTCTTTTAAAAAATATATAGTTCAAGTTCATTGATTTGATAAATATGCCTTAATTTAGCAACTTCCCTGATTTATTTATGCGCACGTGTCTTTGTTAGAAGCCGCCGGTGAAGACAGGATTTAAGGCGGAAGTTCTTCCACTCTCCGGTCATAATTTCTATCCAGACACTAGGTGGTGATGTTGCACTTTTAAAACCAGTTTTCTTTTTAGAGGCACTGGAAGGGTGAGATACAACTTAAAAATAATCATTACATTTTCAATTTTAGCTCACTTTGGAATCGTATTTCCCCATTGTTTAAAATGCAACAAGAACTCTTAAGTCTTAAGCTCAGAGGCACTGGATTTTGTTGTGCTCAGATAACAACCCCAATATCTAATTAAAAAGATATGAAAAGTAAAATCTATCCTCAGGTGAAAAAGCATTAGAATTTTCCCATAAAAGGGACTTTAGAATTTATGCTGAAAGTATTTGGAGACTTGACAGAGATTCTTATTCTCACGGAAGAGTGTTCCAAACCCAGTGTTAACCGTCTTTTTAGTGTATCTGTTTCCAGAGAGAGAAAAAAGAAAAGGTTATTCTAGAAAGAAAAGATAATTTAAAAGATAATCGTATGATCTGGGGAGAGGAAAGAGGCACATCCCTCTGAGACAGAGCTCTCTGCAAACAAGCACACTCATCCAGGACGCTGCTTCTAGAAGGAGGGCGAATGCCAGGAAGAAAGAGAATTATTCAGACCAAGACTGTCCCTCCCGCACGACGTGAAGGGGTGGGCCCTTCTCCCCCACCCACACTGGCTCTTACTGTTAATTTAGAGGAAAAGTGGTTTGTGTGCCCAGGACCCGAGACGGGTCACCTGTAGGTTCTGTCCCATTGACGCCGGGCAAGCAGGGGCAGGAGGCTGGGGGAGGGGCGCGCATCTTATTTGATCTGTCATCTGTGTCACAAACCCTCACTTACTGAGAGACACACACCCGCCAGAGCTGCGGAGTGTT